AATTAATTGTACTAGGTCAATGAAATTTTATTCCACAAAAGTGATTAAAATATATTGAGTTACAGAAACATTATTGGATCTAATTAAACATATATTAAAACATATTACTTAAGTTGCATTAGATAAAAGTGAGTTAGTCAAACTCAATTGCTTTACAATTGATCAATGAAAAATGTTYCATTTACGTCACAAAAAAAATCACATAAAGCAGACTTTATTTAAATTGTACAAACATAATTATTGGATGGAAAACCTGCCCAAAATTTATTTAAGTTCAGCCAATGAGTTATTTTTATGAGTGCAACCTAACCCTAACCCTTTACTATAAACCTAACCGCCCTAGCCTAATACATACTGAACACTTAACCTTTTTTTGTCACTTCAGTAGAAAACAAAACTGAATTTCTGTTTCTTAATTTCTGCATCATCAGAGGCTTTTTTAATACTATAGTAAAGAAGAAAAAGAAAAAGTAGAGGAGAAATATAAGAACAGTAAAGAGTGAAACAGACAGAAATTATAGAACGTGAAATGAACACCAATAACACACAGGACACCACACCCAGCAACCAAACTTAAACAGATGTATGTACAAATACCCAAACACACATATATTTAAATAAATACACACATACACATTCACACCTATGTACAATAATTATAACCTCGTTAATTAATATACACAAAACACACACACCTATACACACAACCAGGCACATACACATACAAACATACACATATGCACACACATACTTACATACATAAATACCTACACACACACACACACACACACACACACACACACACACACACACACACACACACACACACACACACATATATACGTTAAGGGTAAAAAAAACTAATTGTGCAACAACTGTAAGAAGCATAATAAAAAAGCAAATAATGTTTGTCCATTTACTGTTTTAAGATGGATTAACTAGGCTGCATATTGTTGCCACAGGATAGAGACAAAGCTGCTCACAGCTGGACTTCAGCAGAAGAAATGTTACAGAATCAAACCTCAAAGGTGAAGCAAATAAAAATGATGAGAAGTAAATAAACTTTAATCATCTGGAACGTCATATCTGAGGTGTCGCTCTGTCGCAGACATTCATGAAGCGCCAGCTGAGACCAAAAACAGTCGGTGAGCCTGTCAAGCTCTGTGAGATAAGATTTGCAAATGTTTCCTTTCCTAAACTCAAAATCCAATCAAACGGATCGCTCTCAATGACTAATCCAATACCAACCAGCAGAGACACGAATCAGACCTTTCTTACAGACGTGCTGCTATTTCAGGTCTTATATTACAAAAAGCCTTGAATCTACAGAAGTTTTGTTTAGAAATTTAACTGTTAATTTATTTTTTTGCTACCAGTTATTAAAAACCCAGCTATCTTCCCAACTAAATTCAACTTTATGAAACGCACTTACAGCTGAGTGGCAAACAATCTGCTCATTTTAGTCATGTGGTCATCATCACAGTTGATTCTGTCCTCCATCTGTTCTTCCCCAAACTTGCGTTTGTTTGGACAGTGTGAAGGAGGCCCAGTTACGGTGGACACAGCGGTCAGCGGGGACGAGATCCTGGACTCATCTGGAGGAGAGGAATCAGTAGTGGATTCAGTGTTATTACATTTAATTGCCAGAGCGTGACTTCTTAAGGGTCATAGTAAAATAATGCAGCTTAATATGTGGGCCTGTTTCTACATCATTTTTGCTCATACTGATTAGATAAAGTACTTTTAAACAGCTCTGCATTATGAAATTTGCTCTGATTCCTTTAAGTAGACTAGTTCATATAAAGCAAATGTTTAGTTAAGACAAATCCACAACACTGCAGAAACAAAAGCCTGTCCTCACATCAGTGAAAATTATGTAAATGGAGGCACACTGTCTAATGTTGCTAGAAAAAAACATTGTTTTTCCAGTCCAGCCAACCACAGTAAAAGTTAAATGTTAGTTGTTTTTAGTTTTTAAATATATTCATTCTTAGGGACCATAAGCATGAGTCAGAACATGAACGACATAGAAAAACACATAAAATACTCATTTGTGAATCTTATTGCACTTTAACACTGTTTGCTATAAACTCTACTTGTCAGAAGATTTAACAAAAGTGGTTCGTATAAGTTTTAATAAGATTTTTTATATAAATAAACAATATTTCTGACTGATGCACACAAGAAAAACAAATGAGAGGAATGTAAATATATAAAGTATGAACATAGAGTTATTATGCAACAGATAACGCATCTAGAAAAAGACATTTCCTGTATGCCATAATTAAACTAGTCTAATTATTTAATGTGATGAACTGATATGAATAAATGAAGTTTAGAAAAGCAGCATAAAAACATAAAATTAAAATAGAAACTTGCTTTATGCTGTAATTTTGCTGAATTTAAAGTCAGGTCAGGAGGAATCAAGCACATAACAAGCCTAAGGGTAAGTCATATGAAAGGACTGAGATTTGTAATTATAATTTAGGTTTCAAATGTCACTGAAAATAGTTCCGGCTTAGATTGTGCATGATGAAAGTGATGTGCATCAACCAAAACAAACTAACTAATGGTACCAGCAATGCTTTCGAACATGTAAACACCTTACGTACACAATTTACAGCCAAAACACAGGGAAAATTAATGTTTGTGAACTGACCGTCATAGTGTAGTCTCCCAATGTTATTGTTCATCTTGTCCAGGAACTGAGAGTTCAACAGGTCCATGCTAGTGCTTAGCCTTTACAGCTACAGGCTAGTTGCTAACATGGAAGTTAGCATGCTACCCCACTGAAGACGACGACCAGGAATATATCTTGGGAAGGAGAAAAATCAGAAAGCCAGTGAGTGAATAAAGACTAAAAAAATAAATAAAAACGTCCACAGTAACGATTAAATAGGAAAGAGGTTTACGTGCTGACAGTAACGTCACGACTACGACGGACACGGACTAGCAGCACTGCTAAACACACTGAGCTAACAGCTAAAAAATGTTAGCTGGCTGGTAAATGTTTAGCTCAAAAGCTTACAGTTGTACTTCAGATGTTCAGTAACTGTATTAAATAGCGCAGTGATAGTCGTTGAAACAAATACCTGTATGTGTGTAGCTTATTATATAAAGTAAAAGTCTAACTTTAGCTCAGGGAGTACACTACTACTACTACTACTACTAGCAAACTTCTTCAATAAGGGCTCGTAAACAGAGCGGTTCACACGACAGAGATTGGTTTGTCCACTAAGATGAACTTTAAAGACACAAAAACGATCGGTTGTACTTACTTAGTTGGTTTACATTAACGATATAGTCAGATGAGTTCGTCAGTACTGTAGTTTCTCATCGCACAGGAAAGCCTTGAAACAAAAGACTAATCGAGTCGAGCAGCAGCCCTAGCGGTCAGACCAGACTAATCTACCGCTTACTAAACACTCCCATAGAAAAACGAGCTAAAAGTATGTTTTACCTGGATGTTAACTCAATAAAGAGTGCGCGTGGTGTGCTGCTTCTACTAACATTTTTGTCATTTCTTAATAAACTCAACTTTACCACCTACATGACTTAATCAGGGGTCAGCAAACAGTGGCTCTCGGGCCAGTTGTGGGTCTTTGGTCCCTCTGAAGGCCAGGAGCTCCTTGTGTCTTTGATCAAAACATACAGACCTGAATATTTAAATTCACAATCTTTGTTTGTTCTGTACAATTTTATGTAAATTGAATGTGTCAGACCGATATACAAAATATTTAAGGAGAAAAACAAAAAATGATTTTACGATCTGGCAGCTTGTTAAACTGTTAGACACTTCATATTTTTGATTTCCAGCCAAAAAAGTGTTTTTCTTCCATGAAAATCAACAAAACTAAAAAAAAAAAGTGTTGATTAGCACATATATTAGAACCAACATACAGTAAACAAACAAAGGCTAAACAAAATGGCAAATTAACATTCTGACCTAATTTGAGTGTTGTTTGTATAAAGTACCTCAAAGTCATACTTGAGTAAAAGTAAAAGTATCTTATCATAAAAATACTTTGGTAAAAGTTAAAGTCTTCTCTAAAAATATTACTTGAGTAAAAGTCTTAAAGTATCTGATAT